CTGGGCCGTGCGGGTGACGGGCTGCGCCTGGCCGCCGAGTACTGTCCCCGCCGCGCGCGCCTCCACATCCGCCTCCTGCGCGTCGAGGGCCCGGCCGCCGCGCTCGAGCCCCGCGCCGTCGGCTGCCGCCTCACCCTGCTGCTGCGCTCGTCGGGCCAGCAGCGCGCCGCCGTGCTCGGCCGCAGTCGCAAGGCCGCCTTCGGCCAGGACTTCAGCTTCGACGGGCTCGCGGAGGAGCAGCTGCGCCGCCTGGCCGTCCGCGTCAAGGCCGAGAGCAAGGGCAGCGGCCTGGAGCGGGGGCGTCCGCTGGGCCAGGGCGAGGTGCTACTGGGCTCGCTGCTGCCGCTCTGAGCCCCGCATCCCTGGGACCCGGACACTGGGCCTCTGGGCCCTTGGGCCCCATGGCCACTTGACCCTGGGACACTGGCAGCCTCTTGGCCCTGGACACTCAGCCTCTTGGACTTGATAGTCGCTTGGGGACACAGACAGCCTCTTGGCTCTTGGGCCTGACAGCTGATTGTCTCGGAGGTACTTAGCCTCAGGACACACTTTTGTACAAAATAAATGTTATTTAGTTTTCTATTTATGATCTTGTATTATTGATGTTTCAGTTTCTAAACCTCCATCTTTCTCACTTTTCTTTTTGGTAGAGAAGGCAAAAGCAATGGCACCCTCCACTGTATTAGCAGTACCTGACCCCTCTTTCCAGACCATTTTAAAAGTCAAAAGGAAAAATAGGTTTGCTCTGGAGAAGAGCAAGAAAGGAAACACCTCCACCCGTGGGGTTTCCCCTTCTTCCTACTTTATGTGAACTAAATGATTCACGTGGCTTAAAAAAAAAATTCAAATTCATTCAGGGCTGGGGAAGACAGCTCTATGGGTAAAGTGCTTCATCAGGACCTGAAGTCCTTCCCAGAACCCATGTAAAGAAAAACTGGATGTGATTACGTACTTGCGATTGCAGCCATAGGGGCTGCAGAGACAGTCAGATCCCTGGGGCTCCCTGGGCAGCCTGCTTAGCCCTTGGTGATCTCCAGACCACTGAGACACCATGCCTTAAAAACAAGATGGACCTGGCATGGTGGCCCACACCTTCAGTCGTAGCACTGGGAGGCAGAGGCAGGTGGATCTCTGTGAGATCCAGGCCAGCCTGTCTACATAGTGAGTTCAAGGCCAGCTGTGGCTAAAGGGAGACCCTGTCTCAAAAAGACAAAAACCAAAACAAACCAAAAAAACAAGATAGGTGGTGATTGAGGAGCAGCACTAGAGGATGTCTTGTTGTCTTTTGCCCCCCCCCATACATAATTATTCAGAATCGTGCCTAACATGCCCAACACTAAGATCCATAAATATAGCACTTTACATAGTGAGGTGGCATAGTTGATACCCATAATCCTATGCATACAGTCTGTTATAAGGATACGTCTGTGGGAAGAGAAATCCTTTCTCACTGAGAAGAAAGGATCCTTTTACAAGTGAATTCTTCATAAATTGAAGAAGAGGCAAACAGGAAGTGGAAGCTCTCATGATAATGGTGGGACTAGTCAGGGCCTTATGCCCACCTAGCTGTGTCTCTAAGTTACACAGTAATTAACTCTACAATAGGCTTTCCCAGATGAGTTGAAATTGTCAATTTCTTTTTGTTGCTGTTGGTTTTTGTTTTGTTTTGTTTCTTTGAGACAAGGTTGCCCTATAGCCTTAGCTGCCTAGAATTTGCTATGTAGACCAGGCTGGTCTCCATCTCACAGAAGATTTGCCTGCCTAGTGCTGGGATAAAAATGTGCTCCACCAAGCCTGGCTTAATTACCAATTTCTTGAAGAGTGGGTTTCAAGAATTTCTTAATATAGTTTATTTTCATTTTTTGATTCAACAAATAAATTGGAGCTCACTGGAAACTGATATACCTCAGGGTTTGTTCTTGGCTGGGGGCATCCATGGTATAGTATAAAACAGATATAATTAATGTTCATTTTCTTTTTTTTCTTCTGCCACTTGCTGTTTGGCCAAACCTTCTTTGTTTCATTGATGAAATGAGGTATGAGGTAATATGTGCTTTTAGGTTTTGTTAAGAGACCTGTGTCACCACGGTATGGAACAGGCTGGAACAGTACTGTAGAACAAGTACTCAGCCACATTCCAGAATAGACCCTCTTTCCTACAACTCTCTGTGATTCTGGAATGCAGCTGGCAGAGCGAACGACTGACTGATACTGAAGTCTTAGCAGCATGAATGTAGAATGCCTTGTTTCACCATGTGCAAAAAAGTAATTATTATTTTTATAATAATTC